TTTAGTTTAAAATATTCATGCAATGTGTGCTACAGTTTTAGCGCAAACATTTCTGTAATTTGATTTTCAAAACATTCGTTGAAATTTTTTTGTTCAAATAATTGAGAAATTACTTTCTTTGATAGAAAATTGGAGCCTTTATAATAATAAGTGAACAGTTTTTCCGAAAACTGATTGACCGTAAACTTTATCAATTTTTGAGTTCAACTTTTTTTCTCCACAGATACTAGCAATTGTCTTAATAGCAGCTTTGTTTGCTATCGTAGCGGTAAAGATGCATTTCGGTCCTAGTTTTCAAAAACGTTGGGGTAAGTTAAAAAGAAAAAGGTTCCATTTGTTAAAAAAAATATTAAACAGCAAATGACCTGCTTAATCCTTACAAAACACTGACAAATTAACAGAAGCGATCGCTGAGACGACAGCAAAAGCAATGAACCAATCAGCAAGCGAAACAAAGACACGTGACCAATGGAATGCACGGGAAAAGTCACATGATCAATGGAACAGAGCTGATGGTAAGTTGTCAACCTTTATTTGCGATAAAATTTCTGGTACAAAAAAAATAAGACTCACCTCTGTACTTTCTTTGTGAAAATTGAAGGGTCACGGTGAAAATTTGCATCTTCTCGAAATACAGTGCGTCTCTTACAAAGCAATACATACGTGATATTTGTTTTTTCCAGATGGCAGTCTTTGTCCCCATCTGGGTTTAAAAAATTACTCTGATGAAAATGAGGCGTCATCGCCACCTGAAATTACATGCAGGCCACATAGGTAAGGATGTTGAAAAGTTAGCAGATTGAGAGGTGAAGGTAAAGTAATTTCACCATTACGCCGTTCATTTTCCTCCTTTTTTACTCCTTGCTTGACCGTGGCAGTCTCCTCTTCTCCCCCCCCCCCCCAGCATATAAGAAGTCTTTTTGTTTTATGTGTTTAAATCTCAAATAAATTTTAGCTTCTTTTCAAAGTTAAAAGTTTGGAGAAAAGGTTTTTTATTACTTACATATTCCCTAACGCGAAGAAACTGGATTAATGTGGCTTGATTTTATACATTTTTGATAGAAATATAATCGGGTTTTACCAACTGGGTTGTTAATGTAAATTTGCCTCCATTAAACTAATCTGAATCGAATGGCTGATGCTAGAAATGACAGCTTTATTTAGATGCTCTCTACGGTGGCCAATTCACATTATCAACTCAGTTGTTAAAACAAAACTATCTTGGGGTAAAGTAAAAGATGTTTTTTTTTCGTCTTGTCACGAGCGTGGGACAAAGAAAAAAATTCTGAGTCCCCATGAGGAATTGGACCTCAGACCTTCGGATTCCGCGCTCCGATGCTCTCTCACGATAACGTTCGATTCCTCATGGGGACTCAGAATTTTTTCGTTGTCCCATGCTCGTGAATAGACAAAAAAAACCATCTTTCTCTATTTCTTTACCAAGCTCAAAACTTACCATCTCTCTTATTTCTTTCTATCTTGGGATAAGTTTCTAAAGAAACTGTGGTGCTACGTAGGTGGGAGAGCATAACAGGGTAATTTAGTGTTATCAACTCAGTTGATAACGTAAATTGGCCACCGCATAAAGTTTAAAAGCTGACGTTTCGAGTGTTAGCCCTTCGTCATATCGATTATCTTGTATTACCCGGCGACGCAGCACAACAGTTTCTTTAAAAAACTTACCCCTTTATTCATTGGTAAGAGATGACCAAGTAAAAATAACGTACTCGTAAATCTTAAAAATCTAAAGAAATAAAAATTTTGCCTATAAAGCGGAATAATTGTTAAATTGTAATAATCTGGTTTATACGCCTTCTATAGGTCAGACAAAGTAGGCTGCGAGCAAGCTTATCAGTACTACGGGCATCCAGGACAAGTGGAGGAAAGAAGCTGCGACGAGGTCAATTACCCAGATATCTGCTCGTTCCAAGTTACAAAGTCAGGAGAACAAACATTGTTATGTGACGCTAGTGTCTGCGGGTCATCACGTATTGAAATCGGCTCTATCAATCCATATATGGGCAAAATTTCTAAATGGACGCCAATATCGGATAAAAGAATGACTAAAACCGTACAAAATGCTGTGGAAACAAACAGGAGAAACGGGTTTGGCTTCCTGTTCTTGAGGTGTGGAAATCTCCTTCAAGTACTCATCTTTCCTCCGATGTTACAGAAACTTAAAGATGGCAGAGACAGACATAACATCAATGTTAACGTGATCCTTTTGGATTCTATATCCAGACCACATTTTTACAGAAGTCTTCCGAGAACTGTGGACGTTCTCCGGAAGATTTCACGTGATCCTAGCTTCAAGGCCACCACCCTGGACTTTGAGCTCTTCCAGAGTGTAGGTCAGCAAACATTTGACAACTTGAGGCCGTTTTTTTCTGGAGTCATACAAGGTATGAATATGAAGCACGTTCTATAAAACTATTTTTTAAAATCTGCGCCTTACATTCAAATTGGCAAACCTTTACGAGATCCCGTTACAACATGTGTTCGCAAACCCGACTAATTGAGGGTGTTTGTATCCTAGATGATAACGTTGTAACTAACACCGCAAAAACCGTTAAGGCACCTTTAGGCGTGGAGGTACTGTACGGGAATTTCAAGAGATGGGACTATCAGACCCTCTTCCAAGAGGACCTTTGCTGGTTTGACCGTTGGGGAGTGGCCTTGACAGATCTTGAAATAAGAAGAAAACCCAGTACGGACTCAGAATTCATAGAAAGGTAAAGCTTTAAAAAAAATGGGGTTTCTAAAGAGAATTGGTTAGCTTTCTATCTCAATGAAACTGGCCTTAAAGTCGATTAATTGAACGCTTCAGTGTCGTGGAAATACTATACTTTTGATTTTGTATAATTATCTCTTAGTGCCCATGATAAATCTGTCGGCAAAGATTTGACAATTAATGGTAGCTTTTTCTTTTTTAAAGAAACCATAATTTGACAGCAAAAAATACCAATAATTTTCCAGGTGGAAAGAATTCCAAGAGATGATAAAAAAGAAACTTATCGATAACTTTGGCTTGATGCATTTCTCCGGAACAGTACTGGAAAAGTATAATGAAACAAACCATTTTGAAACTCCTCCAAAAGTGTGCTTAAATGGACAGTTCTTCAGTAAGTATTTCATGGATTACCTACAAATGGTGTACACTGCTATCAACAAGGACTCTACGGCGAAACCGCTTATTTCGTACATGCATTTCAACACTGGACACGAATATACCGGCAAACGGATAAGAAACACGGACACCAATTTAGCGGAGTTCATCACCAACATGGCGGCGTTACCTGACACTCTTACAATGATATTTTCTGACCACGGTAATAAAAACACTTATTACAGTCAACACTCAGAGGAAGGAAGAAGAGAAGTGTTTGATCCTGTTTTTTTCATGGTTATTCCCGGTGGCGTTGAAAAAATACTGGGCAAGGAAAGGATGACTGCCTTAGTTAAAAATCAAAGACGCCTCTTTACATTTCTCGATGTACACCGTGCGCTTATGAGTTTAAAGGACCCTGTTAAGATGTTCTCCTGGAATACTTCATTGGCTGGTATATTTGCAGTCCTACCGGAAAATCGCACATGCGCAAACTTAAGCTTGATGCCGCTGACCTTGTGCAAGTGCGAGGACTTTGACAGATATAATTCGGTTAAAGATAACTCAGACAGTCATAAGTGGTTAGCGGAGTTCGCGCTTGGAACCTTAAACAATGCCATTCAAAAACAACATATGGGAGGTAAGAAGAAAGGGTGTCGGATAACTTGACTGGGTTCGCAGCTTTAAAGAAGTACTTTTCCTTGATGCTAGTAAAGATAAATGAATTTCCATCGTTTTCTCACGATTTAAAGTCATGACCAATTGTAGGCCAGGCCATCAATTGAAGATCGCTACCTGAGCGATAAGGTTCAGCCTAAGGGTTTATTAAGTTACACTCCTAAGGTTACAAGTCAGTCTGAAGTTAAGAAATCATCAGAACATCACTTTCGCGCATCACATATATACACTGTACTCAGCATATTTCTTAGTTTACTCACGAGTTCTCTACCGGCAGCTGGTAGGACATTTGATTGTCCTATCGGAAAGTCTCACACTCAAATCCTCTTTGGTGACCCACGTATTTTCTTTTCCTAGGCTGCTAACAAATGGTTCACGCCTTTTTTTTTTTTTTCAATCACCGCCCTGGTTCGACGAAATAGAATACACCGTCATTATCGATGTCTTTTTAGTGTTAATTTTTATTCTTCCTAAAGGTGATGATGGTGGGCAGTTATTATCGATTCTAAAAGAGGGATACGGAAATTGTCAACGATTGGTGGGAAAATCGTTCACAAATATTGTACAACGGACCCAAGGAGAGTACATCACCACCACAATGAACATTAATGTGATCCCCCCATCCGGATACAACGAGGACGAAGTTTTCAAGGTTTCTGTCAAACAGTATGCTCAAGCGGAAGACAAATTGTGGTTGACTAGCTTTGTGCGGGTGTCCAAGTACAGCAAGTTTGAATCATGCGCAGATAAATCGGTGGATATTAAACTCTGTGCATGCGCCAAACAGGAAACCACTGAACCCTTAAACAGTGGACAAAAACGTGCGAAAGAGGTCCCGAACAAAATGTTTGCCTCAACGACTATTGTGAAAGATCTGCACTCAGGCTGTCTCTTATTCTTGAGACGAAATCATCGAACGTTTTCTCTTGCGCTGGAAGTAACGAATGTGTGTTTTGATCGAACCTACAAGTTTGAGCTATCTGGCTCGTCCGGTGAAAGAGTGTATTCTATAATCTTACCAATTTATCTTGAATTAGCTCCGAAAACTTTTTACTTCTTGACCTCCGTTAATAGGTACACTTCTAAAGACAGTTACCCTCTGAATTTTTACGCAGATATAAAAGTTAAATACGCCGATTTCGACAAGTTTAATGATTTGGGAAAAATCGACGTTTCATGAATCTAAAAAAATTTTTGATGCAAATCAACAAAATACTTGTTTTAAATTGTTTTGTTATTGTAGAATATAGTACTTCACATCCTGATTCTCTGTCAGACTTGGACCAGAGCAATTTTGTTTGATTCCTTGATGGGCTACTGTCAGTCTTTTTAAGACTAAAGGAGTGAAAGTGAGAGAAATGATGAAGCCGAGGGAACTTGTACTTCCGCCTCCATAAATAAGTACTGAAACTGTTTTTGAGTTATCTATTACTTAAATATCTTTCAGAATAATGAGAATTTTCCACTAAACTGACTTACTGGAATTGAAGTCTGATAATTCCTTACTAACGAGTTGTCTTTTTGTCTCAGTAAAATTTACCTGACCTCACTCTAGTAGTATTGTAATGACCCCCTCGTTGGCAGTTAATTTCCTTTGGTCCCCCTTTATACTCTTTTAGCGCGACTGATTCCCCCTCCCTTCCCCACTTAATGAAAAGTATGTCAGTGATCCCTCTGAAAATTCTCCTCCTTTCCCTCCCTGCTCAGGCGACAAATAAAAAACAAACTGTCCCCTTATCTATAACAGAATGTGGCGGTTAGGTGCTAAGTCCGATTTAAATCAAAAGTGCGTTTTCTGGTAATTTTTTTAAATGCCATTATTTGCAATTAATCTCAAGTTAAAAAGCGGAACTTCTAAACAAAGGCACTCTTTTTTTTCTTTTAAAAAAAAAATCTAGTACGACTCTGATAGATAATATTTTTGCTCAATATCCACAGTAACCATATGGCTTCTGTGGAAAGAGTTTATAGACCACCACTCGTAGAATATCCAAAGCTGACTGGCTAATACTGAGTAGGACCCAGAATGTTCGTGAATAATCCATAATGTTCTGGGCTAATAAATACTCAGTGTCACTGGAGCTGTAGTCTTCCGGAACGACCTCCTGCAGTAGTACGTACGCAATCGCTATATTTAGAGTAGGATTTGTCCCTTCTTATCGCAGGTTCTAGAGACGTGTTGCGTAATCATCAGAATCCTAGAAGACTTCTACACTTTGCTCAATTTACTGGCTTGAAAGTGAAAGCTGTCAATTCTGCGATCAATGTCACAAGGATCTGAGTAGCTTCAGTTATCGAAGTGGACAAGAAGGCACACTTGAGTAATCTTTCTTTCCACATGACAACAGTGTAGATGTGGTTGAAGATATCAACAGGGTAGCTTTGATCAGTTCACAGAAGGAAAGTGTATGGCTACCGAGGAAACAAAGACGCCGGGATTGCTTGCGACAAGTGGAGGAGAAGCTGAGAATGGTACTGAAATTAGAAATAAGCATTACAATATTATATGCATGTGTTTTATATTCGCCATTTGCTTTTTGTTGTACTTCCGCGGTGTGTCTGAATACCACTTGCGTTTAGTTTTTAAGTGTAGTCCTTTAGTTCTGCAAAGCAATTATTGCTTTTTCTCCTTTACTGGCAAAACTTAAATCGTACAATAGCCATTTAACGTTTAAAATTTTGAAATTGTCGTTGTGGACGCCTGCCATCGTTAAGTGTTAAATTTGTGCTGTTAATTTCCATTTAACCATTAAAGCATTCAATTCAAATATGTTCCGCAGTGGTGGTTTTACTAGTGGGAAAAATGAAGAGACAGAAGAAGAACGGAAATTTATTTAGTCGTTTTTGAGTTTTAAATAGCAGAATTTTTCTTAAAGTCAGGAGAGAAGCAGCCCTAGTTTGACTTTTGATCAATTTGCTGTTCCTTCGAATTCATTGTGAAGGACAGAATCGAGATGAGCAGATAATCGACTGTAAATAAGGTCACAAAAATCTTGCTCTTCAGATTGTTATCGAGTCTGTTAATTCAGACTTAATGCGAATTAAGGAAGCTGAACACATGTTAAATAGGAATCCTCCAACTTCATGCAAACCAGAAATTGCGACAAAACGATCACTTAAAAGATAGACAATTGAGTATTAGGGCGAACTACAAACCAATTAAATCAGAGTCTATTTTTGCCGAATGACTTTCGCATACGTCATATTAAAATTACCATAATCGAATGTTTCCGGTGTCAGGCTGCAGTGGTTGACTATGACGCACAGAACGCCCCAAAACAAGGAAATGATTCAACCACGCGGCAAGAGTTGATCGTCATCCACGGACCGCAATGCCTCATGTAATTAATTTTTAAAACTAAATGCAATTGAAACATTTATTTATACTAAAAATCTAATTTATTTTTGAGCACACAGGAGACATCATCGACCTAAGGACCTCTGTGGTGACTGAACTGCAGCTTTCAGACATAAGTGATGACGTAGGTACTTGCTGGCGTGAGCTGGGACCAAAGCTTGATATTCCTTCAGCAAAGATCCAAAACCTGGATAACGATTATTATTGTAGTCGCGACAAAGCAAACGCCTTACTTCTCATGTGGAAACAGAAGGAAGGGAGCGGTGCAGTGGCAGGGCGTCTAGCGGATGCTTTAGCAAGCATTGAGAAAAAATGCATAGCAGAAAAGCTTCTTGGTGAGTAGGAATACCCGGTAAGATGAGTGAGTGGCTTGTGAGGACTGCTTCCGTAATCCGTAACCCAATTTCTAAATTTATTTAATGAAGAAAAAAATTATTATGATGAATAGCTAAATTGCTACCTTGTTACACAACAATGGGTTTTTCCGTGGTTTTCAAGTCTTATCTTAACAAAAAGGGGATTGGGGTATTTCTCCCAATACCCTTCCTCCTTGAGTGTGTTAAGGATATATCTCCCCATAACTAACGCAAATCTATTATAATTCAATTGTGTTTACTTACTTTTACTTACCATTATCTCAACTCTACACCTACCGATAAATAAGAACGCGCTTACTCTAACAGAGATTTTGCAATTCTTGATACAGCAATTTTCAACTGAGTGTAGAAAGCAATCCTGGATCGCGTTGCTCTTGATCACCTTGGCTCTTTGATTGGCTAAGGAAACTCGCACTCAAACTCTAGACCAATAAAACCAAGAGTAAAACCAATCGCGACTTGAACATTCATGCACCTTTTCCCGCGCTTGAAGTAGCTTGTTTTTCATTTTGAGATTCTATTGGCTACCTATGCTATCTGCTTTTGTCCTAATTGGCAATTAGTACAAGTTTTGTAGCTCAATAAATTATCCAGCTACCCTATTATCCTCATTGTGTGTACGTGTTATCATTGAAAATTCCAACTAGGCTGTTTGGTGGCTAAAGTAAGAGATTACATCCTTGCAAGGAAAAAAATCATTTTCCTACGGCAAACATTCTAAATGGTGACATTAGTTTACTGGTCTCCTTTGGTTTGCCTAGAGTACCATCAACATTCATGATCAGTTTGGCTGTTTATTACTTGGAAATATCTGCTGACTTCTCATAATTTACTTTTACAACATTTATTATCAGGAGTGGATCATGGAAAATTGCCGATGTGTAGAAACATTCCAAAGGGTCACGTTATCAGTTTAACAGTTATTCATGACCTGGGTGTGGGGCTTGATAAGGTTAGTAGCTAACAACACGTTTTCTACCATAACTACTGAAAGATATAATTTTCACAAGAACCACATACATATTTTGTTACCCGAAAGTTATAATCCACTTCCTCCAAGCTGATGAGTGGTACGTCTGCCCTCGACTCCTCCAAGCTAATCGCTTTAGGTTTTTTTTTGAAAAGTATGAAATCTAGATCAGCATTGGATCAGAATTATTACTCAGACGGATTTCCACCATTATCCAGACATATATACAATTTATTATCAATTACTTTTTAAAAGTAAAATATCAAACTTACCGTAGTTGAGCGAAAATTTTCATAAAACTAGTTCATGTTTGTTTACAATAAACTATTTCTCACTTTTTCTAGAGTTTGGTGTGCGAAGATGCGCAAGGAAATAAATTCATGGTAAAGGCATTCAATAGCAGTGAAAATTTTTTAAAATTGGAAGAGGTAATTTCTCCACTTTTCCCATTTATCCAAGGACCGGACCAGAAGCCTCCTCAAGTGTGTCATTTTTTCTCTTGGTTTATGGACTTTTCTGCCAGTTTCAAGGAACATATATACAAGTCAGAAGCTTGCTCACCAGTATTACAACCAAAAGCAGTTCAATCTCTTCCATTCTCCTTAGGAGACGTCGGATGAGTGTTATTAGTGTATAATCATTTGCTCAATTGCCGAACATAAGTCCTTTCAAGGAGCTGTGGTTAGTGGTTATGTTTATGACACGAAAAACCATATATTCTTCGAGACTCAAATTCTTTTTTGTCTGAAAATGTGTCAAAATCAATTATTTCATTAAAACTTGCTTTGTAAAGATAAGAGTCGACTGGCAGTTTTTTCGATCTTAGTTCATGAGTTTGCTGGAAAGCTTACAGAAGGTCATAGACAGATCCAGAATGATGGTATCCAATTTCGCTGAATAGTTAACAAAGGTATACATCAGGCAGTGTATAAAAACAGTACAAAATAAAATAACCTTTTCAAATTTCTATTTGCAAAATTCGTCAAATTCAGACGCTGCGATCCAAATCTTTCTTCGCCTGCACAAACCAAATTCTACTGTTTTCCATCCCTATGTCACGTTTTGTCTAAAAGTCGCTCAAGCAATATTTGCATTATAACGCGATGTTCACTTGGCATGCTTCTTTCGCTTGCATCTGATAACAACCTGAAATTATGGATAAACGACAGTAAATTTCGCGAGTTTTCTTTCGCCAGAAAATCACGTGATTATTTTCGCTAGCTTAAGTGTTATTACTGACTGATCTCGCCGCCAATGCCCATACAAGATAATTCAATTTAATACATCAGCCAATAAACCTAATCTGTTCCCATGGTTCTTGTTTTACATCGGATCGTAAACAATCGAAGCGATGTACAGTGCTGGGTTTGTGCTTGAACCCGAAATTTTATTTTCAATCGAAAGGTGTCATTTAAAGCAATGATGCTATAAACCGTAACAAGCCTCTTTGTCGTTTATGCGCGGTTACTTTTCCATCGGGCTCGGGCAAGTTCGGGACGACTAGTTAACTAGAACGGTGCGCGAGTGAGTGACTCGTTTGCATATCGGAACCTCCACAAAATCTTGTTTCTACCCTTCGCGTAAAACGAGTTAGAAATAATCATTTGGAAAAATTCACTCTGTGATTTAGGGTAGATCTCTGAAAATGATGTTGTGGTTTTGATTAAGTGTCCCATCCTTTTTACTTCATTTGTTTTAGCAGACACTTGTGAGTAGGAGGTTCTTAGAGACTGTTGTTGACGAAAAGAAGGAAAGCCTAAAGCGATATATTTCAGCACAACTTCAGGACCAGAGGCTCCAAATGAAGAAAGAGCAACCAGCTCGTGGAGATGTAAATATGAGGAAGAAGAGGATTCAACAAATGATGAAAGCGTGGAGCAATCGCTTCTGTCATGTGAGAAACATCGCAACATTTGTCTGAGGATTTTTAAGGCTTTTATTGACCTGACTGCCGAGGTTGGACGCCTGAAATGAGGGCCATTATAATACACTCAATATTTCATCGTCGTTTGCATACGGTTTAAATTGCCTGATTGCTTCTTTTGAGTGTTGTACCTCCGAAGAATCCTTCGCCATATAACCAGGTGCAATCCATTAATTTGTTTTCATTGATCAAAGCAATTTACTCTCAGCAGGATAGTCATCGTGAAATACGAAGGGCAGTCACTAAATATGATAACCTTTTAAAATTCAGTGTTATTTTCGTTTTGCAGAAACCCAGACATTTTCCAGAAAGCGACCCACCAAAAGGGATTGGATCGAAGGTATGATATAGTCGTTATTAAAATACAACCATCAATCGAAGAAAGTAAGAAAAAATCTGAAAAATTTGCGTTGTCTTTTCCTCAGGAAGAGGAGCACGGAAATAACTTTTTTATGACCTAACGACGCAAACTATGCTAGAACTAGGAAGGAAATTGATTTGAACATGAACAATCGATTATCCATCTCAGACATCGAAGTTTAAATTCAGGATATTCAGCTCGTGGAGGCGACCTTGTGTACTTACCTAACCCTAAGTAATATCATTTAATTTCATAGGTATTCATGTAGCCTTGTCGTAATCCATGTAAAATCTTCTTTTTCATTTTGTTTGTTGTCATCTCTTTATATTTTCTTGGTTGCACCATGATTATTATCTCCCTTAGAAGACAAGAATGAAAATAAATTCTAACGAAGCTAATGACTCTGTTTTTTTATTACTTTTTTTTTTATCTCATGGTTCAAGAATCCCTTGTTGAGGCTGAGATCGGGAGATAAAGAAGCTTGCGTCCTCCTGTCAATCTCAAAACCCTCCAGCGATGAAGAATATCAAAGCAAAGATTCGGGAGCAGGAAAAAAACACAGAAGAACTCATTATTGTTTACAAAAAAAAAATTGATTAGCATAACCTCTTTTATAAGATGCCCTCTGCGAAAGGCAAATTTAAGCAGACGAATTTGCCTTTCTGGCTTTAGTTGTATTTGGCAAGTGTAATATAAACGAAAATTCGTGAGCACACGAAAAACCATTTAACCGATCAGCTTTCAGTATTTTCTTTGGATAATAGGAGTGTTCGAGGATTCACGATACCTCGAGATAGAACTCTTGTCTAATTTGATGGTGAAGTGCTATTTCTCGATTATCCAATGCAATTTCATTTTGAGACATTACAAGTGTCTCCAATTAGCTCTATTAGCGAAAAAGAAGAGGCAGAATGCAAAATTTCGCCATATTTGCTCCTTAATATAACTGTAGCCAGTTTGAATGTAAGACGTAATAGCGAACATGAATGGATATCGCACTTATACAAAAAGGGAAATTTGGATGGTGATTAGCGGACTGTGATTAGTTATAATTTGACGGAATATCTCAGTGTAAGGGGGCCTTTTTCGGTGAGAATCTTGATCGCTTGTTATTTTCAGAGTGGGATCTGTTTCAACCCAGATCATGTCTTAAAGGCATACAACTCTCTTGAGATCGGTTTTGTTACTATACAATCAAGTATTTCTCATCCTGATATTGAGTCAGACGTGGACCTGAGCAATTTTGTTCAATTCCTCGATGGTTTTACCGTCAGTCTTTAAAGACTAAAGGAGTGAAAGTGAGACAAACGATGATACCAAGGAAACTTGTACTTTCGCCATATAAACAAGCAATGAAACCGTTTTGCGTTATCTATTGCTGAAAGAT